TTTCTACCAAAATGCAAACAAATATTAGAAGAACCCCTCAAGTATTTGAATATTTACTACACTATTTTTCAATGTTCCTTACTAGGATTTGTCATATATGTACTAACTGCATGAGCCAAATTTGGTCTTGTACAAACCATAACATATATTAGCGAACCAACTGCACTGGAATAAGGAACTTGTGACATATAAATCAATGTCTTCATCTAACTGAGGATACAAACCTGATGATAATTTAAAGTGGTCGGTCAAAGAAGTACTGATAGCCTTAACATTCAGAATATTGAACCTTTGAATTACCTTTTCAATGTACTCCTTGTAACTCAAGTACAATCTGTCAGCCTTCCTATCTTTCAAGATTTTCATACTAAGAATCTTCTTTATTATACCCAAATATTTCATGTTAAACTCCTTACTAAGTTGAGATTTTACCTTACTGACATCTGCTTTATCCTTGGCTTCTATGAACATATCATCAACATATAATAACAAATATGTAATCGATCCACCATCTCCTTTTTGTGAAGTACACACATCATAATTACTTCTAATGAAAATATGAGTAGTCATGATGAATCGAACATTTTATTCTACTGCCTCGATAACTGCTTCAATCCATGCAAGGATTTCTCCAACAAGTACACATAGTCTTCATTTTCAAAAACTATGACACCATATGGTTGTTGTATGTAAATGTTCTTCTCAAGTTCTGCATGTAAGAATGTTGTTTTAACATCCATCTACTCAAACTCCAAGTCATTTTGCTCAAGCTCCAAGTTATTCTTAGCCAGCACTCCAAGTAAAGCTCAAATAAAACTATGCTTCACAACTAGTAAGAAAACATCTGTGAAGTCAACACCTGAAATTTGGCTGTAACCCTTTGCTACCAATCTGGCCTTATACCTATCATCTTCAATCACTGATGTGCTTTCCTTTCTTTTGAACACCCACTTGTAGTGAACAACATTTTTATCCTTAGGCAATTTTACCAAGTCCCAAGTATTATTTTTATTTAATGGTTCCATCTCATCCTGCATAGCAATCAACCATCTGTTAGAATCACTACAACTAACTGCCTTCGAATACGTAGTAGGCTCTTCAATGGAATCAATACTGCCAGCCACACTCAATGCATAATCTACCAAATCTGCTTCTCCATACTTTTGTGGAGGTCTAATCTGCTTGCGAGGTCTATTCTTAGCAATTAAATACTATGGTGTTGCTAGTGGTGTATACAAAGTAGAAAAAGTATTGATGTCTTTCAGCTCTGAACTAGACTGATATATAGTAGATTGTTCTTAAACCTCCAATTGTTCTCCTGGACAAATTTTTAGCTCCACCTGAGTTGAAATCTGTTTCTCAGTTTTATCAGAATCCCCACGAGGTGAACAATGAACCATTGCAAGTTCATCAAATACCACATCTCTACTAACCACCACTTCTCTTGTCGTAATGCACCATAATTTATACCTTTTTCATGCCTGATTTATACCCAAGAAAGATGCACTTTTTAGACTCAGGTTCTAACTTTCCATTATCTACATGAGCATAAACAAGACACCAAAAAATCTTCAAATCGGGATAACAAGAAGGTTTACCAACCATACCTCTTTTGGTGTCTTTTTTCAATGGCAGTTGAGGGTTAGTGATTAATCAGAAAACAAGCTGTAATAACAGCTCAACCTAAAAGGTCTTGAGTAACGTAGAGCTTAAAAGCATAAAACAAACATTTTCCATCAAAGTTCTATCCATCCGTTCTGCCATACCTTTCTATTGAGGAGTTCTAGACACTATTAAGTATCTTAAGATGCCTTCTGCCCTACAGAAGCTATTGAATTCATCTGAACAAAACTCCAACATATTATCTGTGCGTAGATATTTCATCTACTTTTTAGTTTACTTTTCTATCATTATTTTTCACTCCTTGAAGGTCCAAAATACATCACTTTTCTGGTTGAAGAAAAAACATCCAAACTTTCATGGAGAAGTCATCAATCACTGTCAACAAGTAATAAGTACCTCATTTTGATAGCATCCTGAATGGTCCTTAAAAATTTGAATGGATACACTCAAGTGTTCCCTTCGTGTTGTGTCTTCCTTTAGTGAATCGGACTCTTTTCTACTTCCCGAAGACAATGATCACAAAAATTCATCTTACTGGTTTTTGTCCATCAAGAAGTCCCATTCTACTCAATTCTGTCATACAATTTTCACTCATATGTCCGAGCCGCATATGCCAAAATTTTGTAATTTCTCCATTTGTCAAAGAAGAAGTAGAAACTGCAGTATCCCATATTACTGTAGAACCCTGCAAAATGTACATTATGTAGAGTTTTTATGCTCATTTATGACAACAAGAACACATCGGCTCACTTTCACCAGTGTATCTATAACCGTTGAAGTTAAGTACACTCGAAGATATGAGATTTTGCTTTAGTTCTAGAACGTACCTTACATCTGTAAGTATTTTAATAGCCCCATTGAACATTCTGATTCTAATTGTACCAAATCCAACAATTTTGCAAGGTGCGTTGTTTTCCATAATCACTACACCTCTCTAAACTCCTTCATATGTTGCAAACCAATCCCTATTGGGACACATATGGAAAGTACATGCTAAGTCAAGAACTCATTCCTCACAAGGTTTGGAATCCATGTCAGAAATCTCGAAAAGCTATCCTTCATTTTGCCCATTTTCCACAACATCAGTCTTCGTTGTGTTTATAGATTGCCTTCCTTTATCAGTAGCACCAGTAGCCTTATTTCTTTTTTCAAAGCATAGCAATGATCGCTAATATGCCCATTCTTCTTACAAAAATAACATGTTTTCTCTGCATAACTGACGCGCATTTGGATATCCGGTGAGAATACAAGCAATGTTTCAAGTATAACTTATTGGTCAAACTCTTTGTCATACAATGTTGCTCCAACTTCAACCACAATGCAGTAGTACTTTTCTCCTTTAGAACATTCTAAAGAATTTAATTTGAAAAATATAGATGAATTTGAGATTGGATTTTTCGATCCCTACGCTATTTTTCATCTTGCATCTAGGTTGAAAACATCTTATCAAAGCCAAGCAATGTTTCCTCCAAATCCATCTGCACGAGAATCGTTCGCATCTTTACTAACCATAAAGTAAATCTCATATTTCGATCCAATAACAGAATATCATATTTCATGTGTGCCATGCAAAAAATCATCTTTGCTTTGATACCACTTATTGTGAATTGATCACAAGATAATAGCAATAATGAAATAAACAAAAATAAAATAAGAATATCAAGATTTATGTAAAAATCCAAGATGGAAAAAAAAACCACAGGTAGAGGAGGAGAATCTCAATATAATCAATAATAAATATATTTACAATATCAAGATCTCAATACTTTCAATTGAAATCTAATTATTGTTTTTAATATATATGTGGAGATTTAAAAATGTGAAATATATATATATATATATATATATATAAGAGCCTCTTTTTGGAGTTCTAGATGAAGAAGAATACATATAATCCGGAAAAATCGGGATAAGTGATGGTAGGACTTTGGGGTGTAATTACCAATAGGGACTCCAGCTGCGACACTTGGCTTTTGTTTTTGTTTTTTTTTTTTCCTTACGAGCATTGTGGTGCCATGACGATGGCGCCCACTTCCAGTAATCATGCCTCTAAGGTATTTTTCATCGCAAAGTCTTTTTTCAAGTCAAACTCTCAATTCTTAATAAAATTTGATCTTTATTTATTAGGACTCTCAAAGTCAAAACTCTTTAGATTTCTTTCATTCAACCAAACACCAAATCACATGAACTTTGAGTCACATCACAGCAATATATTACTAAAACGCCTTAATTTTTCTAGCTAGACTCGTGTTCTAACATACGAGAGCACGAGAATCTAAGAGTCTAACATGTTTTTAAAACAGTAAGTGCCCAACAAATACCAACCAACAAGAGAAAAGGAAAACAATCCAATTAGAAACGACCATCCAACCATAAATACACCCAAGCATAGCATCACCATGAATGGCAAAAAGGATCTCAAGACGGAGAAGCCTTCAATCCATGTCCCCATAAATAGTATAAGAGCAACATAATCGATCATGTTCCAAGTTATTAATCCACTATAGCAAAGCTGGTTCAGGCAATTTGCAATGAAAAAGTGGAAGTTGCATGTGAAAAGATTAAAAGACTTGTGCTCAATTTGCAACTCGGCATGCTTGTAGCGATGTTTGCATGTATGTCCACTCAGGTTTGGAGGAAAACAACACCGTTTAAAGAAACACACGAGGTTGTACCAAGTATATTGGATGTAGTAGGAATGATAAAAAGTATATAAACTTTATCCAGTTCTACTACACGGAACCACATTAAGTAACAAAGGTGACGCACTTATGCTCATTCGATGTGGATTTCAAGAATGGATGATAATTTTGAGAGACATCTCTTGCTTGTCCAAGCAAATAGAGGCAAGCCTTCCCCAGACCAACTCCCTTCTCACATACACGTTCACAAATAGGTTAAAAGCACTATTAATCGCGTATAGGGTCATTTCATTTTAGTCACCAAACTTTTCATTGTAGTTTCATTTAGGCACTCCATATAGTGAATTAATGGAAATGATGATGTGGCATGAACATTTTTGGGTACATCACTTTATCATCCAACTAGATGACATTGCTTGTTGTTGGACAAGTCGTGCTTACTCTTTCGTTTTCCCTTTCTTTATAGGAGCACAACTTATCCAATAATATAAATTTTGACAAGTTGGACGCTAAAAATAATTTTAATATTGGATCTTCCATGCCACGTCATCATTTCCATTAATCATGACCATATTTTCGTTAAGATCGGATTACCTAAACTTCAAAAAAATATGGGAACAAAAGTTCAATGACCAAAGTGAATAACGCTATAGGTTGTGGACGACGAATATAGTTTTTAATCTATTCACAAATAGAGAAAGAGAAGAATGGCGGAGTTGGATGAGAGGAGTCATTTCACAAGTACCTGTTTTGGTCTAGTTGAAGGAATCTGGCAACAGAACCATACGCAAAATTATCGCAATTAACTAGGTTGAATCCCGAAAAATCTATAACGTTACCGTCCTCCCGACACATACCAACATGTCCAGTGAAAGGTACTAACCATGATACAACAGGTAGAGGTGTCGAAACAAAGCAACAAGGGAACTTCGCTTTCTTTGGATCTATTTCATCCAATGGCCAAAATTCATGCTCAATATTCTCAGCTGTATGTTTCTTTTCAACTTCGTAACTAAGACTAAGCTGTTAGATTTTATTAGAACTTTAAATCTCACGGACTTGAAAACATAATTTCTTTATTCTCAAGATCCTCCAATCAAATTACCGAGAGAATTATTTAGTGCAGAACATAACTTGATTCATTGGTAATGATTATTTATTGTCGGATCATGATTCTGGATCTTGAATTTTAAAGATCAACTACAATCTCTTCATGTTTGGTATTTTTAATATCTAATATTGAATATTGACTCTTTTGATTCTTGAGTTCTTGTTTTTGACTTTGGCTTCTTGTTGCATAATCTTGATTGTCTCAACTCCTTGTTCTTGATTGTTGATTTCCTATTCTTAATCGTGGGTTTTGAATTTTCCTCTTCAATATACTTTCTTCCGTATTCTTCTGTTGAGAGGCTGATATAAAAAATAAGAATCACATGAACTAGCGACTATAACATTATTTATAGTTTCCATATGTATTTCGGCTCATCACCAAAATACAACCCTAATAGACCGGTCTCTACACATATTTATGTTCATACTTTAATTAGATGTCCAAAACCTATGACTTTAATTTTTTATTAAATCACTCAATTGGACTTAACCTTCAGCTATCCTTTATACATAATTAATTATATACGTAGAACGACGAGACAAATTAAATTCAACATAAACTTCATTAGAGAAGGTTTTCCTAAAGGCATATTGACATGAAAAATCTTGCTGTCTTAATTATATTCTCCAATGCAATTGACTATATGTAGGATGAATACTGCACATCCATTTTATTGCAACTTAAATGGAAGAATATATCTNAATAAATAAATAAATAAATAAATAAATAATAATAATAATAATAATAATAATAATAATAATAATAATAATAAGGGTAAAGAAATGGGAAATAGAGAGTAAAAGGAAGGATACAAAGTGAAATGGGCGGCATAAAGCATGTCGAGGTTTTGCAGCAGAAAATTTTGGTTACGGCAGGTCGCGTCAGTGCGAAAGACATGGAAGAAAAATAATTAATATACATGCATTTTATCCATCATTTATTTGACCACAATCACGACATAACTTAAACGTTACTTTTACTTCGAGAGTCACTATAAACTTAGGATACGACAATCCAAAAAGCAAGTTTTTCGCTATCTTAGTCGAATACCGTTGTGCTTGCCTGGGGGTTCGTCGAATAAAGAGCAAGTGACTAACTTCAAACCTAAGAATATAGAAAGAAGAATAGTGTTTTTCTTCGATTAATATAAACATTTTATTTCAATTGAAACAAAATAGGGGAAAATCAATCAATTGTTAGGCACGCTTGCCTTGTCATAGATATAAATAATATTGCTTCAGAGAAAGAATAAATTCCATGAGCTTCTACTCTCAAGGCTATTCTACGGCCACATTTCAATAAATTTAAAAATAGAAAGATTTAAATGAGATATTTCGATTTGAACTTCAAAATTGTTGAATACACTCATCCCGTTTTGCTTCTTCACTTGGAGTGAATCTGCTTCAGCAACCCTCTTTTGTTTAGCACCAGCTTTCGTTCTTTCGATTCAATATTTCATTCCCGTCAATTTGTTCTGTTCGGCCAATCCTGCTTCATCCTGTCTTGCCTGGTCCTCAATCGTACCCTATATCTTTGAATATAGAATCGAATGTGTCGGCATCTGTCCCACTGGCCGATGGAAGACATCCTCAGAATTCTCCCTTTCGTGCCTATCTCACTGGTTTGCAGCTTATCAAAGACTTTACCATCTTGTTCAGTTACCTCCAGCTTATTTCTTGTAGTGTATTTCAGTACAGTTTTCACCAAAAGTCTCTTCTAAACAAGCATAGAAATAGCTTAGACCAGAAACAACAAAGTTTATTAATCTTTTGGAAATCAAAACCAAAACTTGGATTTAAATTGCTTTTGGTATTCAACAATTTACATGTACATATGTCCAAAGCCACAGAAAATTATTTGATAAAACCAAGCACCAGGGATATTACAAATATACACATATTACAAAGATCCCAAGAAATAATACAAGCAAAGGACATGTTTCGCACTTAGTGCTAAACAGCACTATTTCTGCCTTGATTTTGTCCTATCCAACATATAACAACATTGAAAAATGGATAAGATTCTAACTTCTTTTTCTATCTTAATTCTGTCCAGTATTGTCTCGTTCAATGTGTCAAACATACCAAAACTATACAAAAGAGGATTGACTTGTTACACTTGCATTTTTAAATGCACGTACTTCACTTTATACAACAACTGAACAACCTGGTGTCACTCAAGGTACACCAGGTTCACCACAAAATGCATCAGGCTCAAAAGATCTTGCAGACTCATCATTGTAAACTCCAGGTACAGATCTACCACCAGGTTCTTTTGTTACTATGTAAGCATCCTTTTGGCTGCTCTCAGTATTGACAAGGAGAACAACACATATTAACAATGATGTTCCTAGAACCAAAAGGGTGTTCTTTAATCTAGCGAGCACTGGCTTCACCTGTATAAGAGCATAATAGTGAACACTAAACCAGGAAAAGACCTAAATGACGGTTAGAATGGAAGATTAAATGACGATTTAAAAAAAACAACAAACTAAGCCTTGTTCAGCTGTTCCCAATAAATTTGTGTCGGTTTCGGTTTTATTTCACTGCTAGATATAGGGTTTATGATTTACTGGAAGATATTGTTATGAACATGAGCTTCTTCAGGGCTGTGCAAAACGTCCCAACTACATTCGCCGCTCAGCTCTTAATTTATCTTCATCCGGCACACCCCTAATTGTTAAGAGTTTAAGAAAAAAGACATAATATACAACGAGGTATTAGATTAATGTGAGAGAGAATAATAATGAAGCTGTGGCTTTGTTCCAAGTTCAACACTCGTACTGCTAGCAGAGTAAAATATTTTGTCGCCATTCAATACACGCAATAATGAATAAACCATATTTTTTTCAAGCTTGGGATGTTTCTATACTTGAGGTTCATGATTTTTAATATGCAGTTTATGTACACGTCTTCCCTCCTAACTATGAATGCGAGATATGATTTCTAGTCCCACTTGCTTCTTGTGGATTTCAAAAACATACTTTGATTTCTGACAAGAAACAAGGAAAAGTGTTCCTCCTACCAAGAATGATAGACCCACAGTCCACATAACATACCAAAGGCGTAAGCAGGGAGCAACGGCAGAATAGGGAAATTGAGGGAAATAGCACATGCACATTGAGAAGTTAGTTAGACAACCAAGTTTAAATAGGAGTGTGGCTAACGTGAATGGCAGGCAGAAAATAGTGGAACAGTAGGAGAGTATTGGCCTCTCGAATGCCAAATATCTGTATTTCATTTTCTTCTTCACAATCACATAAATGGGTGTACTTCATTTTGCTAGTTTGATAATCAAAATACAGTTGTTTCCATTCTTCCTTATTGTCTTGAATCAGCTTATTGTTCAGGTACTTATCATTGGTATCAGAGCACTACGATGGTGAATTTATCCGATCGAGTGGGAGAGTTGGAAGGGATTCACCAGAAAATGCAAGAACAAATGGAAGGATTGCAAGTGGGGATTGATAGGATGCAAGGGGAAATGCAGAGAGTCCAGAACATCGAGAAAAACATGTCCCTCATTCTGGAATAGTTTTCATTCATGAGATCAAAGTGAGAAGGAGAAAACGAGAAAAAAAGCAAAGGGGTCGAAGGCGGAATGGACTCGGGTCGGGTATACTTTGCTTTCTGAAATTTGTCCAGGAGTGGAGACAAGTTCTCGAGCCGGAGATGGAGGTGCATGAGGAAATTGGCGACCGGAGATCAGGGGAAGAAGGCTGGAGATGCCGGTATTCCTTGGGAAGAACCAAGACGACTGGATCTTCAGAGCTGAACAGTATTTTGCAGTGACTCACCTCACGGAAGTAGAGAAACTGGAGAAGGCTGCCCTATGTTTTGAAGGGGATGCTCTAGCCTGGTACCAGTGGGAACAGAAGAGAAAAGGGATAAAAAATTGGAGGGAGCTCAAGCTATTGATGAGATCTCGCTTCAGGACTTCCTTAGAAGGCTCCATGGAAGAGAGATTCCTAGCTCTGCGACAAGAAGGGATGGTGATGGAATACAGAATTGCCTTTGAGACGCTTGCAGCACCAATTGGAGAAGTTTCCGACGCTATTTTGGAGGGCCATTTCGTAAATGGGCTGAGACCATAAATAAGGGCGGAAATCAGGTGTTAAGGCCCATTGGGCTAGAACAAATCATGGATCTAGCCCAACGGATTGAGGAAAAGAATTTAATGTGGCAAACCGAATTCAGCAGAGTTTACCCAATAAGGAGTAAATCAATTACCCACCCAAGCTGGCAAAACCCTTCACCCCGACAGATTACTCAGTCTCCCCAAACTGCAATTACGCAAGTGATGCCACCTATGGGAGCCAGAAATGCGACTCGCCCAGATGATACAGCTCCGAAATTTAAGAAGTTCAGTGAATCCGAGCTCAAGAGCAAGCGGGAGAGGGGGCTGTGCTTCCGCTATGACTGGAAATTTTTTGTTGGACATAAGTGCAAGAACAAGGAATTGCAAGTTATGTTGGTTTATGATGAAGAGCTGGAGGAGGAGTGGGAAACGGAGGACGGAAGAGAAGAAGCGGAGAAAATGGAGCAAATTTTTACGAGAGAATTGGTCGAGTTATCTATGAACTCGGTGGTAGGTCTCACTCCACTGCAAACCATGAAGGTTAAAGGCATGATTTATGAGCAGGAGGTGGTGGTACTAATTGATTGCGGGGCTAGCCACAATTTTATTTCAACGGAGTTGGTCTAGAAGTTAAACTTGCAGAGAACAGATACCGCCGAGTATGGGGTAATCATGGGAACAGGGATGGCAGTGCAAGGCACGTGAGTGTGCAAGGGGGTATTATTATCACTCCAGAATGTTGAAGTAGTGGAGGATTTTCTTCCCCTAGACTTGGGTAGCTCTGACGTGATATTAGGGATGAAATGGCTATCATCATTGGGCGAAACTAAGATTGACTGGAAATCGCTTATCATCATTCGTACGACTATGACATTGCAAGGGGACCCCCAGCTTGAGTAAAACCATGGTGACTCTGAAGGCTATGATGAAAGCCTTTAGGTAGGGAGGGAGGGCTACTCGAATTGGGAAGCCTGGGTGTCGAATGGGAGAAGGAACAAGGTGAAACACCAACAAGGGTCTTGGAGATGTTGAAGGAATTTAGTGAGATATTTGAGGGGTCGTCTGGATTGCCCCCACAGAGAACCCAGGATCATGTCATCCATTTGCAACCAGGCACGAAACCGATTAGTGTCAGGCCATATCGCTACCCTCATGTGCAAAAAAATGAGATAGAGCGGTTGATCCAGGAAATGTTAGCTGCAGGCATCATCAGGCCAAGTAACAGTTCTTTTTCTAGCCAAGTGTTATTGGTGAGAAAAAAAGATGGAGTGTGGCGTTTTTGTGTGGATTATCGAGCCATAAACAAGGTGATGATACCAGACAAGTTCCCCATTCCAATGATAGATGAATTACTGGATTAACTATATGGGGCTACCATCTTCTCTGAACTTGATCTCAAGGCGGGGTACCATCAAATTCGAGTCAGGCCAGAGGACATTCCGTAGACAGCATTTAGGACACACGAAGGACATTGTGAGTTCTTGGTAATGCCGTTTGGATTAACGAACGCACCCACCACATTCCAGTCCCTCATGAATGAAGTCTTTAAGGAGCATTTGAGGCAATTTGTACTAGTGTTCTTCGATGATATTTTAGTCTATAGCCGTAATCTGGACAATCACCTGGTGCATTTGAGGAGTGTGCTGCAGTTATTAAAACACCACCAGCTATATGCAAATCGCCAGAAATGTAGTTTCGACCAAACAGAAGTAGAGTACTTGGGACATTGCATTTCACTACAAGGTGTGGCAGCTGACCCCGACCAAAATTCAAGCCATGGTCGAATGGCCAAAACCCCAGTCATTGCGAGAGTTGAGGGGATTTTTGGGGCTGATGGGATACTATCACCGCTTTGTAAAGGATTATGGGAAGTTGGCTTGGCCACTAACTGATCGCTTACACAAGGATAATTTTTTCTGGGATGAGGAAGCAGAGCAAGCATTTACTAAGTTAAAGGCAGCTATGACAATGGCCCCAGTCCTAGCCCTTCCGGATTTTAACAAGCCATTTGTAGTGGAAATAGATGCTTCGGGGTTCGGTTTGGGAGCGGTGTTGATGCAAGACTAGCACCTACAGCGTATTTAAGCCGTGCGCTCAGCTTGAAAGGGAAGGTAAAATCAGCATATGAGAGGGAATTAATGGCAATTGTATTTGCGGTGCAAAAATGGAGGCATTACCTACTTGGTCACAAATTCTTTGTAAGAATGGATCAGAAAAGTCTAAAGTTCTTATTGGAGCAAAGGGAAGTTAATTCGGAATATCAGAAGTGGCTACTTAAGTTAATAAGATATCAATTTGAAGTGCAATATCATCCGGGGGTGAAAAATAAGGCTGCTGATACACTATCCCGTATCAGCTCTTCAGCAGAACTAATGGCCCTCTCGGCACCTACAGTCTTACAACTGGACACTCTGGCCGAAGAAGTCCGTGCAGATCCACAGCTCCAGAAAATCATTCAGGAACAGCAAGATCATATTCGCAATTCAGATTTTTCTATGGTAAATGGGCAGCTGTTGTTCAAATGGTGTTTGTTTTTGCCGAAGGAATCCAGCTTGATTCCATTGATGTTACAAGAAGGACATGACAGTACGAGCAGGGGGCACTCTGGATTCCTAAAAACATACAGGAGAGTTGCGGTGAATATTTCCTAGGAAGGTATGAAGACAGACATTCAGAAGTATATACAACAATGTGCAGTTTGCCAACAGAACAAGTATCTCGAATTATCATCAGCGGGATTACTACAACCCTTACCCATTCCGAATCAGATTTGGGAAGATATAGCAATGGATTTCATCGAGGGGTTACCAAAATCTGGAACCATGGATACAATTCTGCTGGTGGTGGTGGATCGGTTAAGCAAATACGGGCACTTCATAGGTCTCAAGCACCTGTTTACAGCTGCTAGTGTGGCTGGAATTTTTGTAAAAGAGGTAGTAAGGCTGCATGGGATACCACGCTCCATTGTGTCAAACAGAGATAAAGTTTTCATCAACCATTTCTGGGAAGAATTGTTTCGTTTGCAAGGTACAAAACTTAACCGTAGTACAGCCTACCATCCCCAATACGATGGGCAATCAGAGGTACTAAATCGCACCATTGAGACCTACCTTCACTATTTTACTTCTACTCGACCTAAAGCATGGTTCAGTTGGTTGCCGTGGGCTGAACTATGGTACAACACCCCCTTTTAAATAGCAAGCAAGATGACTCCTTTTCAGATTGTTTACGGCCGCCGGCCTTGCTGAAGTTTGACAGGGGAACTACTCCTGTGCTGACAATCGAACAACAGCTTCTTGAGCGTGATCAGGTCTGGAGGAACTAAAGGACCAATTGCTGAGGGCCCAGGCAAAGATGAAGTGCATAGCTGATTCTAAGCGCAAAGATGTGACCTTCGCAGTGGGCGACTCGGTATATCTAAAGGTCCGTCCCTACCGCCTAAAATACTTAGCGGCGCGGCCTAACGAGAAGTTAGCACCAAGGTTTTATGGTATGTTTATAGTTGGGCAGAGGATTCGTCAAGTTGCTTATAAGCTCATTCTACCCTCGACGAGTAACATCCACCCCGTGTTCCATGTATCACAATTGCATAAGGCAGAGGGAGCGGTTCAGGCTGTGAAGGAAGTGCTAAGCCAGTTGAGTGACGAGTTGGAAATGTTGGCAGAACCGGAAGCACTACTTGGGGTAAGGCCTAGAGTGGAGAGCAATATAAGGGAATTGGATGTGCTAATACAATGGAAAGGACTTCCACCACTTGAAGCTATATGGGAGTCATATGACATAATTAAACAACAGTTTCCGTCCTTTCACCTTGAGGACAAGGTGAATCTCATAGGGGAAGGTAATGATAGACCCACAGTCCACATAACATACCAAAGGCGTAAGAAGGGAGCAACGGCAAAATAGGGAAATTGAGGGAAATAGCACATGCACACTGAGAAGTTAGTTAGAGAACCAAGTTTAAATAGGAGTGTGGCTAACGTGAATGGTTGGCAAAAATTAGTGGAACAGTAGGAGAGTATTGGCCTATCGAATGCCAAATATCTGTATTTCATTTTCATCTTCACAATCACAGAACTGAGTGTACTTCATTTTGCTAGTTTGATAATCAAAATATAGTTGTTTCCATTCTTCCTTATTGTCTTGAATCAGCTAATTGTTTAGGTACTTGACATGTATTTGACAAATACTCACAACCTTTACATTAACTAATCTAACGGTCTATATATAATTTATTAAAACCCTTTAAAATCTCAAAATGGTCCCACCCAATACCCCTTCCCACCACCCCAACATAAATAAAAATCTATCAATACATTGTTAAGTTTTGTGGCTGAACTAACAATCTCATAATCAATCTTAAGCCAGTCATATTAGTAAGTCAAACCGCTACAAATCCATGAATTCGAATAATTATTCATACAAATAAAATTAAAATTAAGTAGAAGTTGGAGATTTGACCGAATAGGGGTTCGGATTTATCACCCAACATTTTACCAAGTGGAGAAATTTCTGTGTAGCAAAGCATGAATTTGAGCTTTTCAATTCTCAGTTGTTTATGGTTCGATTGGGTATTTGGTGGGGGGCCAGTTTGAGATTTTAAAGGGTTTAACAAAAATAAATTCAGACCTTTAGATTAGTTTGAGTTAATGGTGGTGATTATTTGTCAAATACCTTGGTAGGAGGAACGGTTCCCACTATAAAAAATGATTATTTTAAAATTCAAGGAGTTCATCATTTTGCTTCAGGCCCTTGTCCTTTAAGATATTCAAGAGGATATTGGCTTGAGTAACCATACAGCATCAACAAATATTCAATGATCACAAATACAGGATTTGAGGCACAAAGTAGATTCATTCAAGATCAATCTTCAACTATGTATAACCCATAGGGTATTGAATTACTTACGGAAAATGAACCTAACAACCGATCACGAGCCAAAACTTCTGCAGTCTTTACCCATATCTGTTGATAAAAGTTCGAGTCAAGCCTCAATAATTTAGATTCGTCTTTCTGAAAATTGAAATGGCTATTTAACCGTCTATAGATAAAATTTTCATTCCGACTTTCTCATTTTTCAAACAAATACATGAAATTCAATAGTTCTACGTAATTGATACTTGTGTAACTCTCTTCACCAAAGATTTTCTCATAGCTACAGCCTGAAAATGTAAAATTGAATCACAAGTATATACAGAGCTATTAGAAATCAGCAAAATACAAAAATTTTGAGAAAACTTAAATCATCCAAATATTTTTTTTGCTTTACAATGAATATTAGACCTCACCACCAAGTAGACTTCATTTGGGACATATGCCACATGCTGGTGCATTGCAACTACATAGCTATTAAAAAACACGCAGAAGAAAAATTAGCTCAATAACTAACATATTATTACTTCCATCTGTATATAAATCTTAGGACAGTATGCTGTTCCACATTCACATTTTGAACTTGTAATATTGCTTATTTGGCCTCATATGACTTTGTGATCAAGCATTTCTAATTTTCTAGTAAGTAACATGGTAATTCAGAATTCTCCAAGCAGATCCAAGTCTAAATTGTCATTCTAAAACTTCTGTTTGCCTTTGGATAATCAACAAAGTTATGAAAAATACAAGATGGTATGACAGTAAGATTCAACTCAGGGAAGAAAAGGAAGCATAAGTGTTAATATATGCAAAAATATATTATCAACATCAAACAATAAATTTTTAAAAGCGAAACCATGTCCCATCCACACATGTATGTCCCATCCTTACACGTATGTTACACCCCGATTTTCATAATAACTAAAATAACTGACACATGTAATTATAACAAGAACCTTGAATGAATTTTAACAGGAAAATGGTGGGAATCTTTTTTCTTTCTCATAGCATAGAAAACATGTGTACCTTTTACAGAGCTTCCTAAAACGTTTTGTAAAATATGTATACAATAAATAACAACATGCATTCAAACAAATGTATAGGCCAATTGACTTCCATTAATTTAATCAGGCACGTGGATAATAATAATCACACGTGTGTAGACATGCCCTTGCAGGTTGTCATCCATATACACTGCCATTCCAAAACCCTAGAAGTCAACAACCACTGAGCATCAACAACTTAGAGAAAAGCTTGCAATTTTGGATTTTCCCATATAGAAGAAATATTTAACTCTCTAGTGAGAGAACTCTAGCTCAAGAGCTCATGAGCTCAGCTCTAAGTCAAGCTACAACTCCTAGCTCTTGGAAACTTTTCCCCCTCAGCCCCCTTGGGAGGAACTCTTAGCTAAATGGAAATGTACGGCTCTCACACTTCTCCTTAGAAAGGAATATTGGGCCAAGTCATTTCTTCTTTTAGTTCGTACATTCAAGGATTTAGGAATTCTATTTCATAGTACCAACTTTCTACAAAGAAGTACAATTGGAGTTAGGGACGGATCCAGGAAGTCGAGTGAGCTAGAGCGGTCGTTGACCGTTTACTGTTGCAATAGCAAAATTATTTATTAATATTTAATTAAGTAATATTTAAAAAAATACATATGAATATATAATAATTACTAATTAGACTCCCTCATGTATGGGATAAATAATAAGAGATAGGGAATATAGATTCTTTTGCATCTCGATTTAAAATATATCGGATTAGTGGTTCAATTGTTGGGTCATCGAATTTTAGTTAAAAATAATTTTTAAAACAAAGACTCTATTAGTTTGATATACCAATATTTCTTGTTTAGTTTACAAATTTACAATTGTCATAGTGGTCAAGCTTTCAATCATCACATATTAAGTATAGAGTTCGAATCTTATCTATACCTATTGTAAATGTATTATAAAACTTTTCTTTAGCCAATTTGACATATAAAAAAAATATGAAAACAGGGAGAAGAGGTTCCTGGAATCGAACCCCGTACCTGTGACATAAAAAGTTGGTTCTCTGCCATATGATCTACGCGACCTTATTCTGAAATTTGATACATTTATAAATATTTAATGTGAATTATCGAAGCTTTATAACTCTTTTTTCCAATGGATCCAGCACGGGTGGCTGAGCCGGCTCGCCTGATGCTGTATCCGCCCCCGATAGGAGTTGAAGATCTTAGCTGCCTTATCACTCAGAATCTATACCCATAGGTTCCTTTGCTTTAGCTAAAGAGCTAACAGAGGGCCTTAAACAAAACATTCATGTTATGGAAATGGCTTCCAGATTCCTAAAACACCTTCACAGGCTTCTGTAAAACTAAATACATTCTTGATTTACATATTAAAGCAAATGAGCAATTGCTTGATGTCTTCATCGCCATTGTGGACCTAAGAAAATTAATCCAGAATGCATGACAATAGTTTTACAATTTTTATCAGTTCATTCTTAGCAGGTTTTCACATATATCAATTCAGTTTTTTTTTTCCCCCTAACAGCATTAACATCTAAAACAGTTTATTTTAAAATAACATGATGGCATATTCAGTGTCATTTTCAAATGTAAAACCAAAAAAAGTCATATCATAAAAAAAAATTAAGCTATAGATGTAGCATGATTGAAAAAGTTATGGTTGAACAGAAAGATTAATGCCCACTATGCACAATAAAAATATTCTGGAAAACAGAAAATTGGAAAATACCTGGCCATCATACCACCCTGTCTCTTCATCTGTCACCACATCATAAAATACTCCATCAATCTCAAAAAGAAAAAAGGAAAATTCAATAGCAAAACAGCCTAAAAGATGGAAAATAGTGCAAGATTACATTCAACAGTGGCACTGAGCAATCTATTGCCCACATAAGCCCAACCGAGGTACATCCTCACAACGGCAAGAGTAACAACAAAAAACCCACTTGAAGCTGCACCCAATACCAGTCTCAGAGGCTCGGATTTGGGGCCAACTGACCCGAACCAAGAAACGGGTAGGCCCACTAAAAGTGCAAAAGATGCCCCAGTGACAAAAAGCCGTGCACAATACTCAACAAGACTGCCAGTTGCCCATGAGAAAGGGAATGAATTGGAAAGGGCCTGGTATTCATTGATGGGCTGCTGATCCAGTGGCACTGGGCACTCTGTTTCTGATGGGGTACCATTGTTATTTCTGAATGATGAGAATGATATTTTGGGGGAAAATCTGTGGTTTTTGGGATAGGCGGATGAAGGCCGAATTAGGTGGTGGCTGGTGGTTGTGGAGGGAAAGGACGGTGGTTTCAGTGAGAGACAGAAAGTAGTGGCCATATTTTATTCATTTTTTCCTTTCCTGTCATATTGGGATTGAAATATCTTGTCTTAATAATTTCTCAAAACTACAAAATGGATTTCAAGGTGCAGGCTGATTTGAGTTTCCTTGTCCCATGTCTTTTTAAGAAAACATTAGTCATTTTTTGAACAATTTTTAGTTGGCATCACCTATGTGTTCTCATTGTTTCTATTTATTGCATAAGAACTAGGTGTTCACATTTTAATCGAAATTGAACTTTTTGAATCGGAAGTTAAGTTCCCAAGAACAAAAAATTAAATAAGAACCCACACGAGAATTGATCAGATCTTGGGCAGTTCTTGATTCTTGAATCGGAACTGAACCCTAGAACTGTATTTATTTTTTTTAAGTTTTTTATTTTTTTACAATTTATTTATCATGGCCCAATTATCCGACTAAGCAAATAACAAGTTTGCAAGGTTCAAGTAGCATGTATCCTGATAAATGAGATTCATTCATTTGAATAAATAGTTGTGACTTTAAAAAGTTAACTTTTAATACTAAAGTTAATATTAATTTCAGTTTTTCATTATTTAAATTTTAATTGTTAGTTTTAATATAAAAAAAAAAAATCTTAGTTTTTATGTGTAACTTATTTTGAATGGATTAATGTGGAGATAGAATTTTACTATAAAAGCAAATGTGATATTTCATTGGAAAATATAATTTGAAAACATAAGTTGAAGGATTATATTCGGTACATTTCATACTATATTCGTAAAGTTTTGACAACTCGATAAGGTTCATTCTTTATCTTCATGTAATCATGCCCATAGAAAGAGAATTGGATGTGAACTAGAAGGATTTTATCTTGGAGTCATGTTGTGATTAAAATATCTCATACGAAATGGAGGCTACACGACTTTAAGACAAAGTTTGTAATGTAACTCCCTAAAACTTGCTTTATTAACACTAATGAATTTATTGAATTATAATTATCATGTTATCTAAATTTGTTATGTTAATTAAAAGGCTATCAAATAATTTTTCCCAATATAATTGAATCATATCAGTCTCATTCATATCCACTCTTGACCGCACTTGTGCACTACCTACCTTACAAGCTCTTCTTGAGGTGCTACACGCAGAGCCAAAGTTAGAATTAAATGCTATTGCTATCGATATTGGCTAATATTTTGTAAAATATTTATAGTAGAACATATTTTATTTTTTCCATTTCTAAAAGATATTGGGAAGATAATTTATATCTTCAACTCAATATTTTTAAAACATTATGATGGGTTCGATTCTAGTAACTATGTGAACCCAAATGCTTCCATTTATGATTATACCTAACGTGTAATGGATAACTCCAAATATGAAAATACACGACAGATCCTAACTAAAATAATGTACAATACTTTGCATCAAGCATCAATATTTTAATCCATTCTTTTAATATAAACTATAAACCAGACAATAGCATATTTCTTTGACGATCCTTTCCTAATCAACGAAATTGCTTATAAATAGATGATACCATATTGACTGAAAAGTTTAATATGTTAGATTAAGAAAGTTAAAAATTAAAAAAGATTATAATTTATTTGTTATATTATAGTTATATGCTTCAAAAACGTTGAGTTGACAATACTAAATGGGGATCAAACAGAACCTTTGTATGGGCCATGCCGCAAAAAATAAAAATCAGAAGTAGCAATTACAATGTGAAAGTTGCAATCAGCAACAATCGTTATAAATGATCATCAACCAGGTAAGGAGATGGAATCGTCTATAAATAAAATACATGAATACGAAACTTGTATATGCACCAAAGATGATGAGTTTCATCACTTTTGTGAAGGGACCCTTGAAAATGAAGAGCAGTGCTTTAAGCAGTGGATGCAGCCGGTCCATCGGCCATCTGAGAGACTGGAAGGAGGGTGCATGTGAGGTTACGGTCGCCATACACATTGTCCACACGTCCTGTTATAACAACAACAAAGCTGTAATTCTTAAGTATGAACACAATCGCTAAATCTTGGACAGAGGAGAAAAAAACAAAAGAACCAAAATAGAGTTATTCTCGTTCAATCCCTTTTCTCCATTCTATTCGGTTCATTGCTAGATCCAACAAGAGATCTAAAGCAGCTACAAGGCCATATTAGTTTTTGTCCATCTATTTCTTGTTCTAATTTGCTCTAAGAAATCATGTCACTCTTATGAGCAAGAGAATATTCTAAGGGTAAATAAAAAGTCGAAGCTACAAACTGGATTAAAGGCAAGTATATTTTATAAGAATGCATCTACATGCAAAGATGCATGTATCCGGAATTTTGATTACAGAGAGAACATCAGCATAAGAACCTTCTACCTAAATTCACAGTATCCTCATTGAACTTCTGGTCGTATGAAAAGATTTTAGGGAATGATTTAACTTCACATCCGAGGAACAGTAAAGATTGCAAAGGTGACCAAAAAAACATTTTTATTACAACAGGAAAAACAATAGGAGAAATCAGAGGATAAAAAATGCGGAATAAGTTAGTATCAATAATCAATGCTTCTTGGGGGACGACTAACGATTCTATCATTTAGCCCATGTTTGGTAGAAATTAAAATCTAGATGATTTTAATCTAAGTCAAAGTCAATAATTAATTTTAACCATATATTTTATGGGATCCAAAACTTTTCAACCACACATTTCATCAATTTTTATCAAAATCTACTAAACATTTGATTTTAACAAAAAATAAATTCACCTTTTAAAACCGAGAAATAATCTCAAACATTAAACAAGTTTCCTCATGAGGAAAAATAAAATAAAATAAAATATACTTTTATCATAGAGTTTATTAAACACACCTGTAGTTGGCCAGAACTTAGCAGTTCTGAGCCAGGAAGCCGGGAAGGCAGCATATTCTCTAGAATATGGTTTTGTCCATGCATCTGCCATGAGGAGTGATGGTGGATGAGGAGCCCCCTGGGAAAACATTACCAGAATTAGTTTCTCCAAGTATATGTTAAAACAGAAAATCTTAAAAAGCATATTCTTTTCAATGTCCACAAACCACGATTTAATCAAATAGAAGCAACAGCCTGACCAGAGGAACGTATATTTACCTTGAGAACATTGGTGCGAATATCAGCCTTTCCTTTCTCAATTTGTGCAATTTCTTGTCTAATCGAAATAAGAGCATCACAGAACCTATCTAACTCTGCCTGCGAAAACAAAATGAAATGTGCTTAAAATCATGAGGGAGAAATTTGTGCTCGACGTCTTGGTGTATGTTCATACAAATGAAACTATATTATTTTTTTACCTTGCTTTCACTTTCAGTTGGTTCAATCATGAGTGTACCAGGAACCGGCCATGACATTGTTGGTCCATGAAATCCATAGTCAATGAGACGTTTAGCAACATCTTCAGGCTCAATTCCAGCGGTATTCTAGAGTATTCGTAAATTGCAGTAAGAAAATGTCCAATAGCATGGAAATTGGAAGGAAGCCATGCATGAATGATGTTCAACCAAAATTACCTTAAAGCCCCTCAAATCAACAATGAACTCATGGGCGACCGTCCCATTTACACCACGGAAAAGAATGGGGTAGTGCTCCTGTTAACCAAATAAAAATCAAGATCAGTCATTCTTTGACCTCAAATTTCAATAAAAGGAAGCAAGTGGAATAGTTAGGGTCGAAGTCGAAGAAAAAAAAAGGTAAATGATTCCATAATGGAGAAAGCATGCCTTGCAAAACAGCAGTACTCTCTTACAATGACTACGATTATATTTAGCTAACCTTTTACTTTTTTGAGAATTTCTTTGTTTTTTTGCCAAACACGTTTGAGCTTTCAGAAGTTACTCTTTTTAGTGGAAAAACGCTTAAAAGATAGTACTACGCCTCTTTTAAGCTTAGGTAAACATGCTCTAAGGGTCATGACAGTACATACCACCTAGGATATACCATGAGGATACAAATTGCAAAAAATAGTAGAAGTGACAAGTGTAGAGAAGAAACGGAGACCTCCAAACGCTTTGCCATGTAGTTAGCATTCAAGATGGCTATTTTTGATGCATCTGTCAATCCCTTTGAACCCATCATGGAAATATAGGTGTATGATATTGGCAAAATGAGTGCAGATCCCCAAGGAGCAGCAGAAATAGTACCGAGGGGCTGAGATTTTTCTGGGGCCGGTATCCCTCCTGTGGGAACCTGCAAAATCACAATGAAGTCACGACATGAATCACAGAGGAATTGACTGTTGCTCTCTCACTCTCTTAGTTTTTTGTTTGATAATTTGAACATGGAAGATATAGAATATTTACATCCACAAATACAATCCACAGATAATGTCTTTCAACATACCACGGGATGAGATGGTAGAAATGGTGCTAGGTGTTTCTTTACGCCAATGGGCCCCATCCCAGGTCCACCTCCGCCATGAGGAATACAGAATGTTTTGTGTAGATTAAGATGACAAACATCCGCACCAATAAACCCCGGGCTTGTCAGCCCAACCTATTAAAGAAGAAGATTAATTGATGTAAAGAAATTAGATTAAGAGATTGGCTTCGGAGGAAAGGCAGTGAAAAGAAAAGCACAAAATTGGTTCCACAAATTACAAGGATAAGAAAAACAAGAACAAGAAACTAGACTTTTTCCAAATAAATTCTACACGAATCCTTTTTTGCCACTTCATTTGATAAATAGCTATTGATGCAATCAAATAAGTTGCAACCACATAAGACCATGTTACTTTTGGATTACCCCTCTGTCTCCTAATCTGTCTTACTCACACCACATCTTCTTTAAGTCCACAAACAATATGCTCCAACTACTCGAGTCATTTTTTCCTCAATTACCCTCAATTGGTGCCACTTTCATAACATAAGAGGAAAGACGAGAAGTCTCTCACATTTCAATCAACAAGTAAAGATGCGGAGACAGCTGAAAACAACAGGGAAAAGCAACTGCAGATATGGGACCGCCAATGTGAAAACAATAATAGAGAAACGAGTCAAAACTAAATATAATAGACGGTAGGAATATGGCACTTAAGAACATCTTCAAGAATCTTATGCATAATGGAAGAATCTTTAAATTTAGACAGTAAATTTTCCTATATACTTCAACAAGGCACTCTATTTTGCTTCTTCATTTTGCTTTTTTTCAAGAAACATTTATTGATTTCTTCTCATCTTTTATTTAACATATTTTTTTATATATCAATGGACAATCAATGCAAATATGAATTGAATAATTAAGAAAAAATGTATTGAAATCTGTAGCTTATTAAATGCAATTATTTGTAAAGTAAAAGTAGATAGGATGCTTGGCTCTTCAAACTCATCCTCTATTTCAACAGGTTAAAATAGAGTGTCTATTGGAGTTTATTTTTAAGCATTTTTCTTGTATTTAGATAGTCTCTTGGAGATGCTCTATGCTCCAAAGCAATTATCCTACCCTCTCTACCAAGGTGAAGACAGAGAGCATGACAATTGACGACAAGAAAAAGGTCCAACCTAATGCATCATCTCAGTGCCATAATAGCTAAACAAAGGTTGTTATAAGAAGAATGATCACCATGAGAACTATGGTTGACATTTTGATGCTTAACTTTTCTCAACGAGGAAAAACTGAAATCTAACGATTTGTTCACACAAAACAGGAGAGAAATGTTCAAGAATCTCAAATATCTAGGAACATGAAAATCTAACAGCCCACCAGCCAGCCTCAAATATCTGAAAAAAGATTTCTAAAATTTTTAATACCTTTCTTTATAGTCGGCTAAGAACTTTCAAAAAAAATAAATAAATAAAAATTAAAGACCCTTCTAGACATGATTACTATGAAATAGAATTGATTTCACAACTAGAATGAGAGAAAACTACAGAAGAAAAAAATACAGTACCTGGGCATTCATATTGGCTCCATCCATGTAAACTTGACCACCATTGTCATGAATTATTTTGCATATCTCATCAATTCCTTCCTCGTAAACTCCATGAGTTGAAGGATATGTAACCTGATTTGTGTAAAAGTTTTAGGAAAACTTGATATATACATTCGAAACCACATCTCATATAACTTCAATGTTAGTTGTATATTATACCATAAGAGCAGCTAGGTTCTCCTTATTTGCTTCAGCAGCCTTCCGTAACTCTTCAATGTTAATGTTTCCCTTGGCATCCGTTCCAACAGCAACAATTTTCATCCCGCACATGGCGGCACTTGCAGGATTTGTTCCGTGTGCTGAGACTGGTATGATGCAAACATTACGGTGGTGATCTCCTCTTGACTACATCAGAACTTGAATATGAATCGGTGCCGATAATAGAAAAAATTCGGGGAAAAAAGAAGTAAATATGACCCTGATCTTAGGAAGTTGTCCCGAAGGCAAAATTTAAGATTTCCATAATTCAATGAGAGCGTAACTCTCTTATGTATATAACATTATTTTATCGTTCATTTACTCGAACGATAGCTCGCACACTTGACTCTTTTAAGAGAAAAAGGTTAGAAATCTGTTGATTAAACATTCTCCGATGCCACAATATTATAAATTCGAAAAATTTCTAATGTACTTTCTATGTTGAAATTACAATACCAGATGATATGCACGAATGACCATCAACCCAGCATACTCTCCAGCAGCACCAGCATTGGGTTGCAGGGAGAAGGAATCAAAGCCAGTAATTGTGCTTAACATTTCACCCAAATCATTGAACATTTCCTGGAAAAAGGATATCATATTTCAATAAAATAAATGATGAGACACGCAGCTGGAAATGGGACATACAAAATTAAGAGTTTAGGGTAATTTTGGTATTCAGTATTAGACAATATAATAAACAAGTTTTCAGTTTTTTCTTCCGTAATAGTGTCATGTACTGTCCATCCACCTGACTAAACATGCTGTTATAGGATTAAATTCAGCCAAGATGTAAAACCTGGTAACCCTCAGCCTGTTCACTAGGGGCAAAAGGATGTAAATTTGCAAATGCTGGCCATGTTACTGGCATCATTTCGGTTGTTGCATTTAATTTCATTGTACAAGACCCCAAGGGAATCATGCTGTGGCACAATGAGAGATCCTTTGATTGAAGCCTGTGAATGTACCTAAGCAGCTCGTGTTCAGTGTGGTACCTTCAAAATCACATTAAAAGTTAAAATGGAATTCAAAAACAATAATAGATACAATCAACTTTCAGATGGAAAGGTTGTACGAGTTAAATATTGGGTGACTCAGATATGCACTCTCCCTCACAAGCTCCGAAGGGATCAAATTTTGAACCTCTGCCGCAAGGGATTCGGCAGTGAATGTCACCTAATTAACATTTGTTAAAGTTACAAGCATGTAAATGATAGAAAACTACTAAGAGCACGTTTGGCTAAGCTTAATAAGTTTACTTACAAATAAATATGAAAGTTTTCAAATAAATATTTTTTTATTGGTCAAAGTTAAAAATAAGAAGTTACTGACTGATCAAAAAAAGTGATTTTTTTTCCTAAAATGTTAAATTATTCAAATGTGTTTGGAGGCAACTTTTACCATTTTTTAAGCTTAGTCAAACATGCTGAAAGCCATCCAAAAAGAAATTGCTATACTTACAGGCATGCCACATGCGAAAACCTCAAATAGTTTATCAACATCTTCTAAGGTGGTTGTTTCATCAAAAGAAACAGTTACCTAGAAGGAAAAGTTCGGTTATTTCCAATTAGAAGTTATAAACTAGGGGTCAATAAATGTATATGTATAAACTCACAGTATTCTTGTCCACAATCCGCAAATTTATTTCATTCTTGTAGGCAACATCAGCAATGGCCTCCGAATCAGCACATTTGACCTTCACAGTATCAAAGAATGGAAGACTCTGGACTTCTACAGTCCCGAGTTTTTTCAATCCAGCAGCAAATGTTCCTGCCAAACCATGAACTCTTTGGGCAATGGTTTTCAAGCCTTCTGGTCCATGATAGACGGCATACATAGCAGCCATGTTGGCAAGCAATGCCTGCATAATACAAAAAGTTATTTGAAAAAACATAAAACCTACAACTTCCACTGCAGATAAGCAAGTTGATTTTTGTTACGCCTTGATTCACAATGCCTCAAATATCCTACGTGGCAAGCAAAGGTAGGGCCCCACGCCGCCCCGGAATATATTAACACGAGACTGATCTAACCAAACCCCTTCCTATGGCCAAAACAATATGCTTGAAGACCCGTGAGTGGAGGCGAGGCCATGGAAGGAGCTCAACACGAGATCTCCCAAGCAATCTTTTTGATATATGATTGATGTGGCAATTCACTGTCACCGCCGTCACTGCAGGCCTATTTGGTCAAGTCCAAAGCCACAAACGAGGCATTATGGATGCTAAAGTGGTACTAGTATTTAAGGCTTATGATTGATTGATGTCTACGATTAGAGGCTTCAGCCGCATGGATGAGGCCACGCATCTTTTCATCCAATGACCCTCATTCATCTTCTTATAGTATAAAATCTCACAATTAAAGTCATTTTAAAGGTAATGCAAGTTTAAACTCTCAAACTATAACTTTGTCATACCACTGTTCTACTTATTATTCTCCAAGGCCGACTCCCTTTTATATTGGAGGCTCACGTCTAAATCTCTCCTACGCTCATATATTTTCTTCCCCAACTAACTTGATCTTCGGAGTGCACGCAGCCAACTCCACCCCCACTAGAGGAGACCACATGTGGGGGTTTGTCTAAATGTAGGAACAAGGCTTGCGTGGACATGAGAGATCTTGGGATCTGTTGGCCACATTTGAGATACATTTTTTCAGGTCAACAATTTCATATATGGATCGATCAAGCTCAATATACACTCAAGGTCATGAATTAGAAATGGTGGTTTAACACGAGCAATTAACTCCTGCCTTAGTTATCTCTGTCCACTAGTTCATATATACACAATTAAAGTGGAAACGATGTCGAATTTGACAGATGTTGAAAACAATGAAAACAGAAAGAATGGTTATACAGTTGAAAAATACACTTACCTGAGCTGTGCAAATGTTGCTCGTAGCTTTGTCCCTACGAATATGTTGCTCCCGTGTCTGCATTGCCATACGAAGAGCAGGTTTTCCAGTAGAGTCAACGCTGACTCCAATAATTCTTCCTGGCATCATCCTCTTGTATTCTTGGGACGTAGCCAAGAAAGCAGCATGGGGACCTCCATACCCCATTGGTACACCGAACCTCTGAGCAGAACCAACCACAATATCTGCCCCCAACTCACCCGGAGGCTTCAACATTATCAAAGCCAACAAATCAGAAGCCATTACAACCTTCACGTCATTGGCGTGTGCATTCTTAATAAACTCCCCATAGTTCAAAACCTCGCCCTTGGTTCCCGGATATTGGACAAGAACCCCACAAACATCCCCAGATTTATAATCAATTTCATTAACATCAGAAACAACTACCTTAAGCCCAAATCCATCCGCTCTCGTCTTACAAATATCAATAGTCTGAGGGTGACAATTACTAGCAATAACAAAAGTTTTCTTTTTGCCCTTTTGAATATTGTTACACATAGCCATTGCCTCAGCCGCTGCAGTCCCTTCATCGAGCAAAGAAGCATTGGACATAGGCAATCCAGTAAGATCTGTAATCATAGTTTGAAAATTCAGCAGGGATTCAAGACGGCCCTGCGCTATCTCAGCCTGATACGGAGTATACTGCGTATACCAACCCGGATTCTCCATTATATTCCTCAATATAACGGGAGGTACATATGTATTATAATATCCCATCCCAATAAACGACTTGAAAACTTTATTTTTAGACGCTAATATCTTCATATGCTCAATCATTTGTGCCTCAGTCAACCCCTCGTCAAATTTAGGCAATTTCATACTATCTAAACGAATAGATTTAGGCACAGTGGCATCAATGAGTGCATCAAGGCTATTAAACCCGGCATACTCCGCCATTTTGGTTTGATCTTCCGGGGTGGCGGAGTTATGACGCCGGGGGAAGGTGTCACTTGGTTTCAGAGCCTCCACTGAAATGGATCGAGTCCCAACATACTGTACCAAACTCGGGGAAGAAAAAACATGGGATTTACATAAATTTTCACCTCGTACTACATTCGTAGTTAATGAAGAGACATACATCGATGACCTGTGTAATTCATTCCGGCGGGACTGCTTGGATTCTGAAACCAGGCGTTTCAGAACTGCCCGGTTGGCCAATTTTCGGGCACGCTCCATTCTTGATTATACAGCACAAATCAAATGATGGGTTCACTATTGAATTTAAACAGGCACCCAAAAAGGGATAAGGGAAAAAGAGGAGAAAATGCTCAAAGCTTTTTCTTTTTGTATTATATTAATGTAAAATTTATTGTTCCATGATCTGAAAAAAAGTGCGTCGTGCTAATGGGTTGGTGACGATACACAGTTACAGTGTAGTTAAAATCATATATTATATGAATTATATATGTACACTATCAAAATTTTATGGTATTTCTTTTTCTTCCATGTAGAATATATACATTGAATTGTATGAGAATGGACTTTCATGATCCGACAGGGTTGGGGTGGGTGGGTGATGGGTGCATTAGGGTAAGGGAGTGACTGCCCACCAACGTGAGGAAAAGGACAGGGATTTGGGGTCAAGTGCAAATGTTGATCTCTGCAGGGGGGCTTCTGCAATTTTTTTGGTCCAATATATATATGTATGTATATATACTACAAGTGTGTGAAAGGGGAAAATATTTATGGGTTGGGTAAATGGGAAAATTGAAGAATGAATGGATGAAATAAAAATGGCTTAAAAATGGCTTTGGAAAGTATTTGGATTTCTTGTGTGTAAGGATTCTCAATCGACATCTTTTCTTATTACATTTGATTTATCTTAAATTATATAGCTAATTGTATTAGATCAACATGATTCACATTTTCATGGTCTAACATATTGTGAATATATATAGACCTTACTTGATTCTCATTTTCTTCAAAATATTTTTTTTTTTCATTTCAACCACACATTTTTCAATAAAATAATATTACACGCAACCCAAAAACTTTTCATTCATTTTTAATCACACATTATCCATAACATGGCAAGCTAATTAATAATTGCGAATAAATTAATAGAAATTCAATCCATTCATTGCCGCAGCTCACAACCATCAAATTTGATAGTAAAAAATATATTATTTAGCCCCTGTTTGTCATCCATTATTTCAAAACATTGTTTGCTACAGTAAGATTCTTCACCACACATTTACCCAATAAAATATTCTACACATAAACCAATAAAGTAACTTTAAATTTCAACCACACATTCTCCAAAAAATACTATTCATTACACCATTTTAACAACAAAAATGGATGACAAACAGGCTCTTAATGTAAAAATTAAGAACATTTAGTCCTTAAATGGAATAAGAACTTAACCGTACCAATTTAACTTGCTATATTAGTTTACTACTCTAAAGATAAATAAATGAAGCACCACATGCTTAACATTATTTTTAGGTAAAGAAGTAACTATAGAGTTTTTCTAGGGTATGATTGGGGGTTAATTTCACCAATGGTCATTTACTGGAAGTGAGTCAGAAATAAAATAAAATTCACTGGTCAAAGTTATATGAAGTGAAAAGTTGAGTGACCGTTAGTGAAATTAAACTTTGGGTTGGTGGGCGCTTAATAATATAAAATTATCAACTTGGGAGTTGGTGAATCTTTCGTTAAAGAAAGACCGTCAGATGAAATATAGGTTCGGTGGGGGTCCAATCTACGGTTAGTAAATATTCTCAGTTTTCAGTTCCTGTTCAATTTGGCAAGATTCTTTACCATTGATGGAATCTCAAATTATAGAATATTTTTGGTGAATAATGCATTTTTGAATACAATTAAACACATTTGTCAGAAAGAGTTTGACCCTCTCTTTAATCGACACTCACACGTGGAACATACGTGAGACCCGTGCTCCCCATCTCCTATTGTGAGTATGCTGTCGAGGAAGACGTCAAACACTCCCTGATAGTATAGCATGATTTTTGGAATAATAAATTAATAAAGAATGTATGGTTAAAAAATAAAGAAAAATTTTGGATTAGCATGTAATATTATTTTATTGAAAATGTGTGATTGAAAATAAAAGAGAGAAAAATTATTTTGGAAAAAATGAGGATCAAATAAGGGCTCCTTTTTTTAAAAAAACTTCATTTTTAGTCACACATTCTTTCAATAAAATAATAAATTATACTTCTTGTACATTCCTTATTGACATCCTCCCTGTATGTAAATGTGATCATTGATTGGAAAAAGTGTTGTTAAAACAATGTATAAAAATCTGTCACCTCACAAGATGTCAAACTTGATGTACATGTAGCATAATTGTAAANTCAATTTGGCAAGATTCTTTACCATTGATGGAATCTCAAATTATAGAATATTTTTGGTGAATAATGCATTTTTGAATACAATTAAACACATTTGTCAGAAAGAGTTTGACCCTCTCTTTAATCGACACTCACACGTGGAACATACGTGAGACCCGTGCTCCCCATCTCCTATTGTGAGTATGCTGTCGAGGAAGACGTCAAACACTCCCTGATAGTATAGCATGATTTTTGGAATAATAAATTAATAAAGAATGTATGGTTAAAAAATAAAGAAAAATTTTGGATTAGCATGTAATATTATTTTATTGAAAATGTGTGATTGAAAATAAAAGAGAGAAAAATTATTTTGGAAAAAATGAGGATCAAATAAGGGCTCCTTTTTTTAAAAAAACTTCATTTTTAGTCACACATTCTTTCAATAAAATAATAAATTATACTTCTTGTACATTCCTTATTGACATCCTCCCTGTATGTAAATGTGATCATTGATTGGAAAAAGTGTTGTTAAAACAATGTATAAAAATCTGTCAACTCACATGATGTCAAACTTGATGTACATGTAGCATAATTGTAAAATATTTACACGTAAACTCAAAAATTTTCACCACCTTTTAACTACATATTTTTCGAAAATTACTATTGCAAAACTCATTTTTTACGCAAAATGGGACTTAAACATAGCATAAATATAATTTGGTCTCTTTAGTGGAATCTGGTGTAATCAGTGTTCTAAAAGATACTCCTTAAAGGTGAATGCGAAATTAGGCGATCAACTGTCAAGTTGACCATTTACTACGCGACTAAGCATGTTTAATTAATTTTTTTTATTTTGAAAAAGTCTTTTTATTTGACTTTAGATTCAAGTTTTTAAATGACTTCATCTGTACAAAAGTTAAAGGACATTTGCATTTTGGAAATTTGAAAAATGTATAATTGACTAATTATAGGAAATAGTAGGTAAATATAGTATTTTATAATTTTAGATGTTTAGTATGTATTTTTAAAATTATTAAATAAATTTTAGAGTAACTAAAAACTTAAAGTAATATTTTAAAAAAATGTTTTTTTTACGCGTTCACTCCTAAGCTCATAAAACTTGAAACTTTGACTTCACACCTAATCAAACTTTACACTTTTTAGAACATTGGAATATATTAGAATCGTCGACATGTTGTTCAAAGTATAAAATTATATTTTAATTTTATTGGACGACGTGAAAATAATTTTATTATCAGATAAACTAGTAATAAACATCAATTAAACTTAATAAGGAGCGGAGATTAGGATTATTTATCCTGTATGTAAATAAAATTATATTTTTAAAAAATTCTTCTTCTATATTCTACTCCATCAAAAGAAAAAAAAAGTAAATAAATAAAAAATTGTCCTTCTCTAACCATGCCTCCGACTTAATAGCATTATTCAAGGCCTCCTCCCAATGTTTCATACGCATGATATTACATTACATTTTCTATATTCAACATCTATTGTAAATTCTAGAGTTGGACAAAACTCTTGAATCGAATCGAATCGAACTGAATTGAGACGAACGGTTCTTCTTAAATTAAATACCCCAATGGGTATCAAAATCGAGAACCAACGGGTTCGATTTGGTTTGGTTCGATTCGGTTCGGTTCGATTCTCGGTTCTAGACCGAGAATCGAATAACCGAATCTCCCTAATTTTTTTAATTTTTCATCTTAAATAAGTCAAATTATTTTTTTAATAAATTGCTAACTAATTAATTTAGTCTAAACTCAAAATATAATTTTACTTAATGAAATTTACCTAAGTTTTACCCAAATGTCTTATTTTACCATAATGTCATTTCTGTGGTTCTATTATTGTGAACTAGCTATCTTCCTGATTTTAACAGACAAATCCATAAAGAACTCAACAAAGAGATGTGCAAAAAATCTCACAAGATTGGACTACTTTATTTTGTAAGAATTAAGATTGAATATGTTATAGTCGAATTAATGTAACGTTATTGTAATATAAAAAAATTTTAATTATTGTACAAAATCCCATAATCGAACTCAAGCGGTTTCATAATTAAATTTAGACCAAACGATTTCATCTAACATAATAAAAAAAAATTGTCAAAGACCAGAACAACCATATTTCTCTTTTTTTTGAAGAATTTGTCTCACGCAAATCGACTTCTCCAGCCAACATGAATACATTCATATATATAGGTATCCTGTAAGCTATTTTCGAGTTTTGAAAAGCTTTAGATCACGACAAATTATTTTTATTCACAACAATTCTTACCTTTAGCCCACAACAAATTACTTTCATTAACAACTGTTGACCCTAAAAAATGAGTTAACAAAATCCTGACCACGTTCCCTCCACGTGGACCTCTTCTTTGTTATGAAATGAATCGCTTATATATAGAAGTGAAAAGGGGCCAAGTGGATCTAATGGGCTAGACCCAAGTCCAATATGTAATATTTTATGGGTATAACAATAGTCCTCAAGTCTGAGTCGTACATTCATGTACGAGTCGAACTTTGAAATATAAGCTGTCAGTAGGTGAAGTCATGCAGATCATCTAAAAAATATAAGTAGCTCTGATAAATCAAGACTTACAAACTGCCATTAGAAAATATGCCTGAATAAGCGAGGGCTTACGAATTGCCTCGTAAGGTATCGCATATAATTTGTCAAAATTTCGACAACATCTCCTCTATAATATGGACTAAACCAACCTGTAATATAACATAATATCTCAACTGCACATATATAAAATAGATTTGAAGTTCATTTGCCCCTCAAATTGCTTATGACAATAAAGTGAATAATGATATCAAATTTCTTCAAGATATAATATGCAAAGAGCCTATCATGACT